TTTTTTTTTTTTTTTTTTTTTTTTCTTTTTTAAGAGTAACTAGGTTTACAACTTCGCCTTATTTAAGTGCATTCTGTTTCTTAGTTCTATAAGTTACGTTATCTTTAAAGAAACTAGAATTATTTACTGTATAAATCAGATAAGTGTGGCACGACTTTTTAAGTATGAAATTGAAAATCTGCGCTTCACTTTACATGTAAGATATAAAGGTGAACAATTATTTATTGATACGATTCTACAGTATCTATAAAATTGTATTCAAAACAACATAGGAATTCTTTTTTTGAATATTTTTTTCACAGAATGTAAACTCAATCATAGATTGCCCAAATTCCTTAGCTATTAAACAACACTTTGTATTAATTTGTTTGAACATATTTTTTAACATATGAGAGAGTATATGTACCGTCATTTCTTAACACGCTGCCAGATATTTATACGTATTAATACTCATACATCTCCGAGGATAGTATTCGGAACTTTCTTCTTTGTACATATATTGCTGTTGCCGTTTTCTCTTTTCATTTCAATATACTCAAAATACTCCTACTTGTGGAATAGGTAGGAAAATCTGATTTTTAAACTGTAAGACTGATTTTACAAATCGGCATTTCATTTTCATATGAATGTCTTTTTATCTTAGTTTTAACTGAAAATAATTTTATAATGTAAAAAACCTGTTGTGCAAGCAGAGTTTTTATTATAATCATATTTTATCATATTGTAAGTGAATGAAATATGCAAGAGGTATTTTTAAAGTACATCAGCATTGATATATACTTATGAAAATTCACGTTTTCGTAACATCAAATTGCACTAAGGCATGTACTTATTCCTTTACCTTCAAAATTCTGATAGATTTAGGAATATCATCTTTATGTTCATAAAATTTCTAATTAAATTACACTCATCTTTTATTGATTTAGATAACTAAACTATATAAAAATTGACTAAAAATATAACAATTTTAGACATTCCTAAATCTATTATTATAACTTTAATATTCGATATAATTTTTGAACTGCTATGCATCCGAATGTTTTTATGCTATTTGGAGTAAAATGAAATGTAATTCGTTTTTTTAACTTTATATTTAGAAGGATTATATATTACGGTACAATACGTAATAAGTATTATTTATTAATATAATTATTATAACAAAATAATTTTTAATAATTTAATCATCTTCTTTCTCTCATTAGTTACAAATTTAATTCAATGAGCGACTTTGAATATTATTATTAATTTATGTAGTGAAATATTTGACCAAACTAAAAATTTAATGACCTTGGGAAAAGTGGCCTTAGGACAATTTTATAAAATTTACTAACTTATATATAGAAAAATATATAATGTAATGGCAAAAAAATTCAATTTCTAAACACTTTTTATGTACACAATTTTAATTGATTTTGAAATCACTGAAATTCAATTTATAAGAATGCTCTACTTTAATCCATTATAAATTGTAACATATTTAAAAAGAATGTAATGCGTATTTACAGTAAACGATAAAAGAAATAATGAATATGTGAATAAATAATTGTCAATTTTAATCACATAAATACAAATTTTCATCATATAAAGACATTAAAAGACATTATTTATACAATTATAATTATATTCCTCAAAAGATACGAAATAATCACGGAAATAAATAAATGTTAATATCGATATTTATATTTTTGAATACATTCATATAAGATTCCATTTGAAAATTTTATTAATAAATTCAAAATTTGAATATCAAATTGTAAAGTCGTAATTGGTAAAATTATAAACATTTTTTTTATGATTTTCATTTTTATTATATTTTTACATGTATTTGGTAGATTCGATATAATAAATTTCAAATAAGAATATGAGAGCTACTGACGAAGAATGCGAAAGATTGATTAATCATTTTTACGCGAAGTTATAGGTGAGAACCACTGTTTGGAATCTCACTACTTGGTCGACAATCTTGCGTTTTAGAGTTAGTGGAGCAACGATAAGTGCAATGTTATATAGTTTCCGTAGTTGTCTCTTGTATCAACATCATTTTAAACGTAAATTAATAAAACCATGTATCTACGCAACCAGAAAATAATTCGAATCATAAGTAGCCGGTGAAAAATAGTTTATTTTTCAAAGCGTCCGCGAAGTATACAGATAAATTCTTCGCATTCCAACGTTGGTCCAAGCTCTTGCGAGGGCAGCATCTAGATGAGAATGTTACTTTTGTGATTACTCATTCGGTGACATCTGAGGAATGTGGTAAGCAAATTCGCTTCCTCCTACGCTTTGCAGTTTCTTTTTTCTTTTATATTTTAGTAATAACAATTTCTTTATATCAAATTATTTAAATTTTTATTTTATTGCTTTCTATTAAGTGACTAATACATTTTCTATAACTGTATAGAGCTCGTGGGAAAATTTTTTATTTAAAATTTTTTAAATGTTAATATCAGTTTCTTATTGTAATAACATATTGTTCTATTGATTGTAACTTTATGTTTGGAGTTTTTAATGTTGTCATATATAAATAAATGCGAAGTGAAAATATAAGTGATAATATTAATGCACAGTGATTTACACAAAATGTAATTTATTTGAATTCAGAGCTATTAATTATTAACTACCTGCAGATTTACAATTAGCTTTAATAACTTTAGGAGCATGCTAAAACATTTATTTTTATGGTAAAAATATAAAGGAATATTTTTGTTTTCAAATAAAAATCAGTATGAATTATATTTAATAATTTACTAATATAAGATTTCTGTTTAACATTAATACATTATTCAATACCTGATATAATAGTTTGAAATACTATACTACACTATAATTCTTTTCCAAATTAAAACAAAAAAAAATTTTAATTTTTTAATAATAATTTTATAATTTATTAAAACAATTTAAATTTCAGCTAGAATACAGTTTTTTTTTCTTTGTATGAGACAATTGCTACATTGTGGAATGTGTGGCATAGGTTGACAAAAAGAAAAGGTGCTGGATAATCCAAATGGATAACAAAAGCCCATTATGGCCCAGCATCTGCAGACACAACATCAGCACGAATTTTTACCACTGTGTGATGTATTATTCAACATAATCTCTCTAGCATCATATTTTTGTGACGTTGTTTTTGACTTTGCAATGGTATATGCCCTTGCTCAACATTCTGTAGCTCCTGCAATCCTTTTTCCTTTAAGTATTGTTCTTATAGCTACTTCATTAATTATTTCTCAGGTCAGTATATAAATTAAGTAATCAAATTTTTATTTGATGTAGTTAATTTACTTTTCATTAATTTTAGATTATTAGTGTACGATGGTATTTATGGGGTGCCAGAGGTAAACTAACTGGTAACAATATTAACGATTGCAATATTAATGGAAAGAAAGAAAATGGAAACTGGACAATATGGTGTGTTTTATTACTGCATTCAACCCAAGTTGGAGTATTATGGAGATATTTTAAATTATTTATTCCAGTTAATCTAACTTATGTTAAACATGAGGTGAGAAGCAAGTAAAGATTTGCTGATAAATATAATATAATTTATATAACACTTATATAAAACTAATGATTTTGTGTTATTAGGTGAGAGAACTTTGTGTATTACGACTTATTCATGCATTCTGTGAAGCTGCACCAATGTTGCTTCTGCAGTTATATTTGTTGTCAATTGGAGTCAATAATGATACAAATACTGATGTTGGAAAAACAAAAGAAAGTGAAAGTAGGGACAGTGATAAGTTAGCCAAATTGACTGCAGTATCTGCTGGTCTATCTTTGTGGAGTGTATGTTGGGCAGTGGCTAGTTTTAGCAAAGGTGCAGCACGTCTTCGTAATTTAGAGCGTTTGGTATTGACATGGCTAGGTGTGCTGGCACAACTAGCATGGCGTTTAGGAACTGTAAGCGCTAGAGTAGGAGTATTAGTAGCTTATGCCTCGCTCTATGGTGGACAGTGGTTGCTAATTGTTATGGCTCTCCACTGGTTATCAATGTTGATGTGGTTACTACTTACTCCAGATGGTCTTTTTCACGGTGGTGAACATTTACCTATTTTAAGAAAAACGTCATTAGCTTCACTTCTTGCATTTGTTTATATATTTGCATATGTAAATTTGCACGAAACGAATCATCGTCAAAAAATGGTAAGTTGTTAATACATGTTGTACTTTTAATATTAATATTTTCAAAAGTGAATTAAATTTATTATATTTAATATATTTATATAGGTAATATTTTATACGGTAATGTTTTTGGAGAATAGTTTGCTCATTGGTGTATGGATAGTTGGTGTCAATAGAACTGACCTTTTTCCACACCAGCATCATCCAAACCCTGTAACTTTAGTACTTACTCTATTAGCTTTATTCTTTGGTGGTATGTTTTTTATGGGTCTGTATTATAGGTAATTATAAACGTAATTAAATCAAACAATACACATTATTTAATAAATTTAATGCAAACAATAGTCAACAAATTTATTTAAAATACTAGGTTTTTTCACGTACGAAGATTAAGGTATGAAGCTGGTGGCAGAATGACGGCCTCGAATCTCACGGCATTATCAAACCAGGTATGATATTAAAAATCAAGTTTTCAAAAATAATGTAGATAGTAATTTTAACAAAAGGATTATATTTATAGGATAATCTTGAGGAAAAACAAATAGAATATACAGAAGACAAAAAATTAAGTATGAATGTAGGGGTGCGAAGAGTTAAATTAAGTAATGGTGGAATACCAGGGGTATTCAATTGTCGTTTTGCAAATCCAGCTGTAGTAAATCCAAATCGTAAAAAGAAAAAGCCAACAACATTTGTACCTCCTCCACCCCCACAATCTCAAACTGGGACTGTTACAACACCCATAAATACTGTGGGTGAGTCAAAACAGTGGCTTGGTGTGAATAGTAATTCACGTCAGTTAATCCCATTTTGGAAGAAATCTGTAAATTCTGGTGTAATACAGGTAATATTAAATTATTACATTATTAATAACAAAAAAAAGAGAGAAAGGGAATTAATATTGTATGAAATTTACTTTTATTTTGTACTTTCGTATATTTTTTCTTTAACTTACATCAAGTATTTATTATTTTGAGGTAGAATGATCAGTCAAATGAGCAAAAAATTGGAACAGATGCTGGAACTGCTGGCTCGCTAAGTGTAAATTTAATAAGAGAAAAACTTCAAGAAAAAAAACAACAACAATTACGAGAATTAAGAGCTATACAAGAGGAAATAAAAGAGGGGAAGTTATTTCCTCCACCATCAGCTTCAGCATCATCATTTTCATCATCGCCTGCCTCAAATCAACAACCACCACCTAATACAAAGTTGCACACTTCGCCTAGTTCTCCTTTATTCACGTCTGAACCGTCAGTAGGTGATCAAAATGGAGGAGTAACTCTATCTTCGTGGCCACCGGTAAAAATGCATTGTCTTTTACCTCCACCACCATCTTCTTCTTATTATCCAAACGTTCACCCTTCAAATTCGTGGAGGACAACACAAAGAGAGAGAGCAGACACCCCAGAAATATTACTCGCACCACGATGTCTTCCTCATCATTTTACTCATTGGACACCATCTACTCATGTTAATCATCGGTAATTAAATATTAAAATATAAAAGATTTATAAAATTATATTTATATATATTATGCATGCGCATATATGTGTTTGTATGTACTTATGTATCATATTACATTTAAGTCAAAATGGTGGAGAAGAAAGTTCTAAAGGCGAAGGAGAGGTAGAAGGAGAACTTAGTGACATGGAAGGTAGTCAAGTATCATTACCCCGAAGTTATACTTTACCGCGTGAATTTAAGTATCATCATCCAAATAGCACTGCCAGAGAACGAGAACGACGTGTAGGAAATAACAAAGTTCCAGCCTCGCGTTTCTATTTACCATCTACTAATAGTTCTGATGGTGAGTTTCATTTATGTTTTTTTATTATTTAGATAAATTATTTTTTTAATGTACCTTTGTACAATTTTATATTTAATTTCCCAAATTCATGTACGTATTTAATATTTTCTAGGAGATGTAGATAGTGCAGATAATGAAGAAGAGACAGATTCTGAAGTACATTATCGTATGAAAAACAGTCATGGATCTAATAATCATGGTGAAACGCAACAACAACAGCAGCAACGTTTTGCATTCGAAGATAATAAAACTGAATTTTTAAATCCAGATCCAACAGCAGCTGTTATAATGTCTGGAAATTCTTATTTAAATAATTCTCAAGGGCTACTTCGTCCAAGTCAATTGTTCAGAAACAGGGTTAAACATGAAACAAAGCTTTAAAGCTAATTGATATAGTACTTTAGGAATTAGTATAGTAGCTAATTGAAGGTTTGAAACAAGAAAAGACTGTACATGATCTATTTTTATAAAATTATTCGTTTTTTACGCGCGTGTTTTCTAATATCTTCATAACCAGATTAACATTATTAAAAGTTAGATGCTGATCGTATTTGTATATAAAACAGGAATGAACATACATTTTTTTTTGTTTTTTTTTTTTTTTAATAATACTGTTACATTTGTTCCTTGTAAATGATGGTACAACTATTTACAAATTTAAAGCATGTTAAATAATCAAGTATATGTTTATTTAAATAATCAATTTTTAATTTAAGTACATAGGATTTAAAAAATTTTAACATTTTTACATATTGTGCAAATTCCTTTCTAATAAATTATTGATCCTTTTATTTGTATTTTAAAAGAAAATATACAGTTTAAGAATCCATATAGTATTGATTACTTTATACATACAATATTTTGATACGATGAACTATGTAAACTAATGATATTTGCATTGAACATATTTATTTTAGACTGAAAAAATACATAATCAAATTTTACGATTGTAAAATATTATTTAAATTATTTTAGCTATTTTCTTAATAAATATTTTGAATTAGCAAAAAATATTTATAATTAACTATTAACGTATTAATGATTAAAAATTTGAATTTACAAATGTAAATTACAGAAACACCAATGAAGAAACAGATATACAAGTATCGAAAAGATATACTTACATTTTTTATGCTGTTCATGGTATATTGTTATATATGTTAATATATAAACAATTGTATCTAACAAAAATATTAGAAAATATTTATATTCATATAAATATCTTATAGACCTATATATTGTGCATCAGTATTTCTTTATCAAAATACTGATTTTATGCTATAGTCATTATTTTATAAATTGACAATTTTAAATATATTAGTTAATTGAAATATATTACTTTAGATATTTTAATTCATAATTCAAACCTTAAAGAATGATTTCATTTTTAAAGTTTCTAGTCAGCTCCTTGTGTGGTAAGACAATCGAATTTAATACAATTTTCTCAGCTGCCAAACGTACGCTAGTACCTGAAATATAAATAATAAAAAAATGCTTACTTTTCTGGTTGAAAGATTAAGTAATAAACTATTTACCAAGGATTGTTATAGAAGGATTCAATTTCCCATTAGTGTTAAACAAAGGTAAGTTTTCCATTTTTGCAAACTGTTTGTTAGGATTAGGATCACATGGTGTTCCTTCTACTCGTGCCCATTCTCCTACATAACTACTTTTGCCCACTATACTGTGTAATACAATGGAATGTGCCTGAATATGGGCATTAGCTAATATAATTGACTCCTTTATTCTAACACCACAAGCAATAATAGCATTGGGACCTATGCTTACATTTGGGCCTATCTGCAAATGAAATATTATTTTACAGAAATTTTATTTTTACCTTTATAAGAACAAAATATAATTTTTGAATAAAATTTTCTCTACCACTGCTGTTGGATGGACAGTAGCAGAAGGATGTATATAGATATCACCATTAATTTGACAAGGTCCATTAAATGTAGAAGCAAGTCGTGTTGGGTGTTTTACTTTATATAGAGCTAAATAGTGACGATTGGCATATATAGCAGAACCTGCAGTTTTAACTTGTGACCACCATTTTAAAATAGGTAAAGCAAATAAACGGCCAGTTTCTGCTAAACGCATTAATATGTCTTGTTCAAGAGATATATGAGCTGGGTCTTTACCATTACCATTGAACTGTCTATTAAATAATATTTAATTATAATTTTATTATATATGATATGTATAAATAATTTTTTAACAAAATTTCTAAAATATCTTACATAAAATTCTCTTGACTTTGTCCTGCATAAAAGACATCAGCCATAGTCTGAAAAATATCTGGCGAAGAAAGGTAGATACCACAATTTATTAAAGTTGAAACAAATGTTGATGGTTTTTCTACATAGTGTGCAACTTTTCCTTCCTTATCAAGAACCATACATCCATAATTTAAGGACTGCTGCCTTGTAGCTTCATTAGCCATGATTGTAAGTAATGCTTGTTTTTCTTCATGATACTCGACTATCTCTTGCAAAGGAAAATCAGCACATACATCACCATTCATTATAAAAAAATATGTAGGTCCACCTGAGCGTATTTGATCACGAAAGTGATATAAGCCACCAGCTGTTCCCAATGGTATAAATTCTTGAAGATATCTAATAGTTATTTTATATGTATTTGTCATTTCCTGAATAAATTGAGACAAATCACTTGCAAGATATGATCCTATTATCAATATTTCATTAAGATTTTCCACCTTGGAACATGCTTCTATATGATGCTGTATTACTGGTAATCCAGCAACTGGGAATAAAGGTTTTGGTATATCTAATGAAAGAGGCCTAAACCTAGTACCTGTAAAATATATTTTTAATTTTAAAATATTATTAAGTAGGTTATTTTCATTTATTATTCAATTCAAATACACTAAGTTTTAGTATTATTAAATATATGTACAATGATATTTAAGGTTATATTTTTGTTCCGATTATAATTACTCTATTAAAAATATTTGTATTATGTAATACACAAACCTTTTGATGGTCCTCCAATTAATATAACAGATTTCAGTATCATTCTTATAAATTATACAAAGTTTTAGTACAATTTTGAGTAATTCTCTTATTACAATAATAAAAAGTTAATTCACTGATAGATTTAGGAACACTTCAAAATTTCTAGTTTGTAAATTCCAATTCAATGGATAGGATAAGATAAGAACTAGAACTTCCTGACAAATAATACAGGAGTAAACTTAAGCAAATTCTGAATAGAATTTGTATGATCATCAAATTAATATAAACAATTATCTTAGCCTTATTATTAGAATAACAGAATTACAATTCATATCTAAAAATAAAAAACTTTTTATTGCTATAAATTTTTTAAAACTTCATTTTATATATTTTCATAAAACATAATTATTATTAAAAAATATTTATTTTTATTTTTTCAAAGAAATAATTAGATAGGAAAAACTTTCACAATTAGAAATGAAACTTTAAATTTGTTTATTTATTCTTATAAAAAGATATATTGCAAATTACAAAATAGATTCAAAAATCTGAAAAAATGATATAAAGATTATTACATTGTATATAACGTACATTTAAAAAACAATTTATGATAATCTAGTGAAAATAGATTATTAGTTAAACTGCAAATTCATTTAAAAATTATTAAAAGCAATGTTATTATATAAAAATATATTATTACTCATACCTTCCAATAAGAAGTATAAAATACTTCATGAATAAAATATTTCATTAATTGAATACTTAATTGATAATGAAAATATTACTTGTATGTCTCTCTTAAAAGCTTAGTATATATAAAAATTTATATTATACATTAGGCAGTACCCAATTCAAGAAATTCATAGCAACCTCAAATCCAAGAAAACATGCTGCATTTGCAGGAAATGCACGAAGCATCACAGGTACACATCCTCTGTACAATGCTGTTGGTCCTTCTTCTTTCATTAAAAGTACAAAAACGTCGCGAATTCCGTATTTAAAAGTACCATCTGGAGCTTAAATATTATAAATAAAATATTAGTTAGTATTTGTAATAATTTTTTGTAATTTGCTTAAAAATATTACTTCAAAATTAGTAATAAATTCGGATAAAGATAAAAATAAAAATTATAGTGATAATACATACCACTTTGTAAACGACTCTTTAATACATCAGGTGGCATTCCAACAATCCAATTTGCAATACCAGCAGAACCACCAGCCACGATTGTTTGTAGTATTCCTAGTTTACCTTCTTCAGAGGTCATCCATTTCTTCAGACACTCATATGTCATAAAATACATTCCACTGGCAGGAACATCTGAAAGTTGAATGTGAAATATTATTAGCAACATATAGGAGTTACATGCATTGAATATTTTATAAGGAAAGGAATTAGAAATTTGGGTAATATTTATATAAACAAGTTACATATTATAAAAGATAATCATCAAATTCAAAAAAGATTAAGATACACCTGAATGTATATAATTAAAGTATCATGTGGAAACGTTATTTATAATTATAAAGCAAGAATAGTGTGTGTAGGTTGCTAGATAGGAAGCATCCTGTTTGATAGGGGACATCAAGGCACATAGATAACAATTAACAAAATTCAGTTTCCTTCAAACCAGTGTAGCATTATTGGTTTTAAGATCTGCTTTTCTTCAATTCTCAAATTTTACACTAATTATGACGGTTGTTCTAATACTTGTCCTCACTCTGCTGGTATATAATTCTTTTCTTTATTTAAAATGAAGAAGTGTAAGAGGAAAAAATTATTTTTTTCATAATATTTTTAAGTTTATTAGTCTTTTACTGTAACACAGAGTTTCGTAAAAGTGATTTCATATGTAAATTTATTTGAACAATAAATTAATAAATAAACGTGTGTTTAGAATGAGTGCTTTGGACAAATAATCGATATTGGCGATATTTGGGAAGTAAAATGTCCACCAGGATGTTCATGTGAGGTACAGAAATTTGCTGATTTACCATTACACCGATGGATTAGAACAAATCCAGATCAGGTATGATAATCAGCTATATTCCACTTTTTGAGATTCAACTATTTTTTTTTCTTTTTTAATAGAACTTGACAAAAGATGATAATTTTGAACTTGTATTAAATATGGACCATTCTATAATTCCCGAATTTTTAAAAGTAGCAATTTGCGTTGTTGCTGAAGACTATGAAGAACTTTTGGATAAACTTCCATCAGATATTCAGGTTGATGTTATGAAATAGATTAATATAATTTTTTATTATTCAGAAATAACATATATGTCTTTGCCTTAGGTGTTTACAATTCTTCAATCTGGCATGGGAGACTTTGAAATTCTTTTACAGTCTACAACATTTCAACGTTTTACAGATTTAATGTCTCTAGACATTCAAGGCATAGATTACAATGAATTAATGAAAAAAAATCTGAATAGTGAAGAAGGAAAACAGAGAGGAATTATTTTGTCTGTTGATTCATTATATCCATTAGGACTAAATCTACTTTATTTAAATTTAGAACGAGTAAAATTGACCAGTTTGAGTCCAACAAGAAAAAACAAAGCTAATCTTGTAGTTAAACCAATGAATACAGTTACCAGTGATGAAAATAGAAATAATCAATTATTAAATAATAAGGGTACAGGACATAGACTGATATTTTTAAGTCAACAAAATAGTGGAGAAAGTGATGACAAGGAAATACTTCCTTATGATGTGTATAAACAAGAAATGGAGGGATACAGGGAAACTGTTGGACTTTTTACTGGTTTAGGAGCTTTAACTCATTTAAGAGTTTATGATTGTGATTTGAAAGACATATCATGGCATATGTTTGATGGTTTAAACAGTCTAGTCCATCTTTCATTAGAGAAGAATAGTTTGAAATTCATACCAGAATTTTGTTTTTATGGTACTCCAAATTTAAAAGTACTATCACTTGCAAGTAATCAGTTGTTAACACTTAAAAGTGTAGACTTAGCTGGCTTACTGATGCTTGAAGATCTTGATTTAAGGGGAAATAATCTAACTTTTTTATCAGAATTATCTTTCCCCCCTTTTCCAATGTTAAAGATTGCAGATTTTCGAGAAAATCCCTTAGATTCCATATTCCCAAGGTATTTTAATATATTTTTTCTTTATTTTTAAAATAATAAACTACAAAATTAAATAAATATCCTTTAATTTCAGTACTTTTGAAATCATGAATACAACATTGAAGCTCTACCTAGGAGGTGAAGATTCAAAATTATATCTACAAAAGAATTCTTTTCTAGGATTATCACAACTTCAAATCTTGTATTTGTATAATTTGGAAATACCAGTGTTAGAACGTTTTGTATTTCAAGGAATGCCAGAGTTATTGAAATTAAAAGCACGTGGGAATATTTCAAGTATTGAATTTGATGCATTTGTAGACTTAATCAAATTAGTAGATCTTGATCTAAGTCACTGTCATATTCGTAAAATATCTATGGATGCATTTTATGGATTACAAAATGTTAAACGCATAGATTTGTCAAACAATGAATTAGAATTCATTTCACCGGGTTTATTTGGAGTGCAACAACAAAAACAACTTAGAGAAATTATCCTTTCAAAGAATAAATTGACATCACTACCTGTAGATTTTTTCAAAATTCTTCGGATTTCAAACAAACAATCACATTTTGCAAGTGTAAGATTAGATGGTAATCCATGGGATTGTACTTGTTCAATGGCTACTTGGAATCCTCATTTCGTAAGTGCAAAAAAGCTACTTTTTATTTAAAGAACAAACTTTAATAATTTCTTTTATAAAATTTAATTGTAATTAATTTTTAACTGAAGACCATAAAATGATCATAATTTGATTGAAAATAGATAAATAGATTACGAGAAACAGCACCAAGGTGTTCAACACCCAAAAAGCTGAAAAATTGGGGAATTTTTCATGCACTACGCAAAGGTGGTTTACAATGCAGAACCTTAAGGAGAAGACATTTGAAGAAGTCCACAATGGGAAAAAATAACTATGAAGATAATATCATCAGTTAGCTAATATATTTTTTAAATTAACAATTTAATATATGTGTATAAAGAAAAGAACAAAATTAGACAGTTTAATTTTCTGTTTCTATAAGATAATTTTGCATTTTAAATACATCATTTTAGTTGTATATCACTGTGTATAGCTAGATATATAAGAGATAAAAAAATTGAAAATAAAAAGGAATAGCAATTGACAATTTCATAGTTTCTATATTTGAATCATGAAAATAAAATAGAAGAAAAAATAGTATTACATACCTCTCAAAAGAGTAGCACAGGTACCTTTATAAATACTTTTAATCCCCCCTTCTCTATAAAGTTGCTTCATACAATCAATAGGTCCATTATATTTGGGTTTTGTATTACCATGTTGTATTTGTAAGAGACATTTTATTCTTTCACCAGGTGCCATTATAATAGTTGTAAAGATGCCACTAAATGCACCAGCATAAAATAATCGCAAAAGACTTAGTTCTTCCCTGTCAGATTTTTTTACCAATTGTTTTCCAAGTCCAAATCCATAAAAACTTATGGCAAATATTGGAGCTACACCACATAAAGGTGCACCCATACCTAAAGAAAAAATATTATAAATAATCTAATAGGCAAACATTTTTTTAATAAGAAAAGGGTAGGATCAATGAAATATATTCATATATAACTAATATACGTACTATGTACCAACCCTTATATAATCCACGTATTCCTTCTTTTGTAATTGTTTTCTTAGCACAATCTATTGTTCCATTATACAACAGTGTTTCATTTGGACCTGGCACAGGCATAGTTTGAAGGCGAACCTATTAGGAATAATGATTTTCTTTAGATATTTATTTTAATACAGAATATTATTAAAACAAACTTTAAAAATAATAAAATGAAAAAACTCAGTAAAACATCTTTAATGAGATAAAAAGGAAGTACAGAAAACATTAATGTCATTGATTAATTATTTTTACTGTAACATATTTAAACTATAAACTGTTTTTTATTTTGCTTATTTATTATAATATATAAATCTATATTTTCCATAGTTCTTATTTTTATCATCAAATATTAGAACAAAAAATGTTTTAAATAATAAATTGTAATGATGACTAAAAACAGCTAATTCATTATTGAAATTGAAAAAAATACAAATATAAAATAGAAAAATAATCTTTTTAAATAAAGCTTTATGTACAAATTCTAATGTTATCAGCATACATTATATTTCTTTTACCTAACATATCCAATATTAGGGTCAATCCTCTTCAGGTAAAAACAGTTCAGTCCTAAAAGTAGGACTTACTAATCCAACTTATAATTAGATTAGGTACAGCTGAAAAATTGGGGATTATCTTTTATATTTAATCTTACAAAAATATTCATTTTACCCCAAATTCTAATTTCTTTTATTTTTTAGCTTTATTTTGTAATTTGAAAACATTCTAACAGTTTTACAAATATTTTATAATTCTGATTTTATAATATAATACAAAATAGTAAAATAAAACTCCATTTGCTCTAATTCAATAATAAAAATAAATTTTTATTTATAAATTGCAAAATCTGTACTACCTTATTTATAAATATTTTTATTATTACTATTATTGGTGTTACATAAATGTTTCATTATGTTAAAATAATAGTTTATACAAATAAATATACTGAGCATGTTAGGCAATCATGCATAAATTTCACGTTAGAATTTTTTAATAATAATCTATTTTTTATATTAAATGGTATAACCTTACTTTTATTGTATCAAGCGGATGGCCGACTACAACAGTACATATTCCACCAAAACCTCCACTTAAAAAGTATTTAATAAGACTCTCCTTTTCTGACATTTTAATGATAATGTTATTAACAAATAAATGTTACTATGAGGTAAACTAAAGAATAAGTAGATCAATCTTTCTAAAGCAATTACAGAATTCAGTCTTGAATCTTATTAAAAAATAACACTATATTTGGATAAAGTAAAATCATTAATATGATAGAATAATCATTCAAAAATGAATATATATCATTTTGTAAATTATAATTATTTAATAATGATTGTATTTACTCAAATAAATATTAATTTTTATTCTTGAAAAATGAAATAGGGGTTAATGGAAAGAGAAATAAGAAATAAACATTTTTAAACAAATTAAACCAATACTAGTTTTGGATACATTTAAAAAATTATTAAATAAATTCAAAAAATTTTTTAACATATAAAATATTTACATATTTTATATAATTATAATACATTAAAAAGTAAATTTTATATATGCCGCCATTTCAATTTGTGATAGCGCTGTTGTATATACGTACTAAGTATAAAATATTTTAGCGATCTAAAGCTTCATTTCTCTATGAATGAAATATATCAACATAAAAGTAATGGGTAGTTTTCTAATCTTTGGATTTTATGATAAATGATTTAGCATATTACGTTAAATAATATAATTTAAAGTGGTATCTTTGAAATAAGTGTCAGAACATGTAAATAATATCAGGTGATTGAAGTTATTAATTGTTTGGTTTCAATTCATAATAAATTCTTTTTATTTTACATACTTTTATCTTGACACTTTCCAATGTAGCTATTTTATTTTTGTAGAGATTATAGTCTTGGTGTTAGTAATCCACTTTTATGCATTCTATTTGACCTTGCTTTGAACATTGAAAATATGTTGAATTTATGCAATGTAAATAAGCAACTATAATAAAATGTTAATAATGATTAATTACTAATATTTTAACTTTACTATATAATTTATGTATTTTCAAGCTATAATTTCTTATAATTTTATATTATTCGAAATTTTTATTTCTGCAAGAAATGTGATAATTCAATTCTAAACATGTTTGACAATTAAATTTTATTCTTGACTGATATTTATTACATATTGTAGGACTAACAACAATGTCTGAGAAAATTCCATCTAATCAACCACAGCCAATTGTTAAGATAGGCCATTATACACTTGGCCAAACCTTAGGTGTTGGAACATTTGGTAAAGTAAAAAGTATGTAAATTATTACTTTCTCAGTAATTTTTTATTATTTCTTTTATATTAAGTCATATAGCAATACATAAAATATTAGAAAATATAATTGTTATATAAAAGCTATTAGCTTATCATTTTTATAGTTGGTGAACATGTTTTGACAAAACATAAAGTTGCTGTCAAAATTTTAAATCGGCAAAAGATCAAAAGTTTAGATGTGGTTGGAAAAATTAGAAGAGAAATACAAAATCTTAAACTTTTTAGACATCCTCATATTATTAAATTGTGAGTAATGATAATATACATTGTAATATGTTAAATATTAAAGAATATAAATCTTTTTTGTAATTTAGGTATCAAGTTATAAGCACACCTACTGATATATTCATGATAATGGAATATGTATCAGGTGGAGAATTGTTTGACTATATTGTTAAGCATGGCAAACTAAAAGAATATGAGGCTCGAAGGTTTTTTCAGCAGATCATTTCTGGTGTTGATTATTGTCATAGGCATATGATAGTTCACCGTGACTTAAAACCAGAGAATCTTTTGTTAGATCACAATCTACATGTAAAAATAGCAGATTTTGGTATTTGAATATAGTTGGGATATTATTGTCTTTTAAATGAAATGTTTTTTAAACTGCAAGACATCCTTTTATAATTTTTAATTGGTTTTATTATGATAACTATTCATAAATGAAATATAAACTAAATATTTAAAAATTAAACTTCTATGAATGTCTTGCATATTAACCATTAATATTAATTAATTGCAATGTATTTAAAAAAGAATAATTTAATAATTTAATCAAATTATAGGTTTATCAAATATGATGATGGATGGAGAATTCTTACGCACTTCATGTGGTTCTCCTAACTATGCAGCACCAGAAGTAATTTCGGGTAAACTATATGCCGGTCCTGAAGTTGATATCTGGTCTTGTGGAATAATACTTTATGCTTTGCTATGTGGTACATTACCATTTGATGATGAACATGTACCAACACTCTTCCGTAAAATTAAATGTAAGCAATAACAATGTTTGTAAATTTTAATTTTTGATAATGTATACAAAATTTTTAATATTTGTTTCAGCTGGAATTTTTCCCATTCCAGAGTACCTGAATAAAAGTGTTGTAAGCCTTTTATGTCACATGTTGCAAGTAGATCCTATGAAAAGGGCAACCATTGAAGATATTAAGTACATTAAATTTTTATTATATGTATATTTTCAATTTTTGTACTATTTAAGTTGTTTTTAAACTGTTTAATATTTTTTCAATACAATTGGAATTAGTTATAAATATTTTTGATTTAGGAAACATGAATGGTTCCAAAAGGATTTACCTTCATATTTATTTCCATCTCCTGTTGAGCAGGACTCTTCTGTAATAGATATAGATGCAGTAAACGAAGTTTGTGAAAAGTTCAATGTAAAGGAAGCAGAAGTACATTCTGCATTATTAGGTGGTGATCCTCATGATCAGTTAGCAATTGCATATCATTTAATAATAGACAATAAAAGAATCGCAGATGAGGCTGCTAAAGCAGAATTGAAAGATTTCTATGTAGCTTCTAGTCCGCCTCCTGTTGCTTTCAGTCCTAATGATACAAATAGCAGTCCTTTGAGACCACATCCAGAGAGAATAGCACGTAAGGAAATAAAATTAATCTTATAGACTTTTAAGAATTTTTAATGCCATCACAGAACTTTTAAAAATTATATTTAATTTTTTATTGTACTGTTTTAGCATTACGAGAAAGACAAAGTTCTCAAGGAAGTACATCATCCTCAACACAAGGTGCTCGTGGTACACCAGTAAAACGGGCTAAATGGCACTTAGGAATTCGTTCACAATCTAAACCAAATGACATTATGAGTGAAGTTTATCGAGCCATGAAAGCTCTCAATTTTGTAAGATATTTTCCAATTAATTTTTGAAATAGTTAACTTAATACACATATTAAGTAGTTTATATTTTTAGGAATGGAAGATCATAAATGCTTACAGTGTTAGAGTACGTCAAAAAAATAAATTAACAGATAGATACAGTAAGATGTCATTACAACTTTATCAAGTTGATTATAAAAGTTATTTATTAGATTTTAAATCTTTATCAAATGAAGAAGAAGATATTGGACGTGGTAAAGAATTATAATTAACTTTGGTGACTTATTGATCCATGAATGATGTATAAAATATAATATAAATATAATTATTTTAGATCCTACACTTCCACCACCTCAAGCTACAGGACATCATACAATGGAATTCTTTGAAATGTGCGCAGCATTAATCACGCAATTAGCTCGATAAATTTGCTGTATAATATGAGTTATCATTTTTCAGAACTATGTTAATGTCGAATTTTATTCCTTGTTGTACTTTACACAACACGTATCAATGCAGTTCATAGGATAAAGGGAATTCTTAGAAACAAAATAATATCAGTTTCACAAAAAAGTTAAGTGCAAGGAGATAAGAGTATAATAAATCTGTAGAAAATTAAGTAATATTTTTTTAAACCCAACCATTTTAATATTATACGAAAAAAATAAAAGAAATAATGTATTTATTAAAAAAATATATTAATATCTCTGTATATATATTGATAAATTAAAGGGAACAAAATATATTTTTATTTAAAATTAAAGATTTTAGTTTCCCCATTAAAACATCAGGTAGTGCTGGAAACAAATTTCCTAAGATTCTTAAAGTTTCCACTCTGCTTACTGTACGTTCATAAAATCCAGAAACTTGAACTAATCATTATTAGTCTCTGTTTTTATGTCATAGATTTAAGTGGAATATGCTGACTCTCGCTTTAACGAGGGTGCAAATTTTAAAAATTTTCTATTAGTTCGTACATAAGCAACTTACATCTTTGCGCAGTCTCAGTAGACTATTGGGTGAAAGAGTGATATACTGACAATTTTCAACGTGAAGTGAAACTGAAGAACACGAAAGAAGTAAGGATTTACTTCAAACATGTTTGCAATTGTTGAAACAGATATGCAATTTCACACAAGACTCTTTGACAAGTGATTCCTATATCTCTAGTTGATCGACAAAATTGAAACGAAAGAGGTTTTTGAATGTATTATAATATATCATATATATTATATGTATAGAGAAGTGTATGTACATTCTTCCGATTTGACGGTTGTTTAAACACTGCATCGAAAGCGTTGTTTAATGTTTGTACTATGCAAACGACATTTGAAACCACCCTGTGAACATATTAATATTGCAGGATTTGTGGAAAAAGAAGAGATTTGGGGGATTTGTGTGTGTATTTGGGGGACTTGAACCCGGGTTCTTCTTCGTCCTGGATAAGGGCGCTCTTTGCTGCGCCATCGAGACCCTGTTGCGCTTTTTACTTTTTCGAAGTCCTTTCCTCGCACATATAGGAGAGGCGCTACCGATTCGACAATATATTGATCAACAAGTACAGTATTCAGGACTACTGATTTGACGAATTAATACCGATTATTCGCTAAAACAATGGCTGCTACTTTCGATCAATATGACAAATCCAGGTAAATAAAAAGATGTTTTTAATCATTATTTTGCATTATGAAATTAATTCTCATCGTTTAATGAAGTAATAAACATCACTTTGTTGATAATTAACCTTTAATGTTTAATTTTACTAATCTTACAAAAAGTGTGTTGATTTTTAAATATTATATTATAAATGATTTAATATATTCTAAGTATGAATAATAAATATTATTTAAATTGTATTTTTTATATTTTTTGATATTTTGATATATGTATATGTATATATACATATCATCAAATATAAGATACTTTCAATTTCACATATTTATTATTCTTTATATATGAAATCACACATCTAACCTTTTTTGTGAAGTTAAAATTAACATAGAATTTCATGGAATTATATTTTTATTATTATGTTGTTTTAGTTGGTATTTTGGTGCAATGTCACGACAAGATGCCTCGGATTTACTCATGGGTGAAAAAGAAGGTGGCGTATTCTTAGTACGTGACAGCACATCAATCCATGGCGATTTTGTTTTATGTGTACGAGAAGACAGCAAGGTTAGCCATTATATTATAAATAAAATTCAGCAGGGTGATCAAATACGTTATCGGATTGGAGATCAAACGTTTCCTGATATTCCAAACCTTTTGGCTTTTTACAAATTACATTATTTGGACACTACTCCATTGATCAGGCCTGCACCTAAAAAAATACAAAGGGTAATAGCAAAATATGATTTTGAGGGGAATGATCCTGATGATTTACCTTTTAGAAAAGGTTTGTATATTTTAATTTTTATGCAAAATATATACACATAGTGTTTATGCAAATTTTGTCCTTTACAAGTTTGATTGATTATATGCTTTTAATTGATATGATACTTGATATGATATTTTTAATTTTCTAGTTGAGTACTATTAATAATGAGAGGTTTTAGATTATAATTTTATATATTGTGAAAACATAATGTTTTCTTTTTCAGGAGAAATTCTTACAATTATATCAAAAGATGAAGAACAATGGTGGACTGCTAGAAACAGTCTTGGTCAAACTGGTTCAGTCCCAGTTCCATATGTTCAAAAATATGAAGAAGATAATCACTCTGTGATTGAGAACAATTCACGTCCTGAAAGTGGAGGATGTTCAACTACAAATTCTAATTCAGTTCAAGTTTCTGCTTCTCAAATGTCTTATCCAGAAGGTGGACAGGGGACTACTCGTAGATCAAATATTCAGAGAACATTACCAGCTTTTGCAAAAGTAAAACAAGCAAGAGTACCAAATGCATATGATAAAACTGCCCTAAAACTAGAAGTTGGAGATGTGATAAAAGTAACAAAGACTAATATAAATGGTCAGTGGGAAGGTGAATTGCATGGCAAAGTTGGTCACTTTCCATTCACACATGTTGAGTTTGTAGATAATGAAACTGGAGAAGACAATCAGGAGATTTAACGGAAGTCTTCCAAGTGTGATGAATAAAAAAATTGACTTGGAAAGTTTTATGTTGGCAGTTTAGATTTATATTAGCAGCGATTCTGTGTACTGGTACATAAAATTTATCTATTTTAATATTTTGTATACGATTTGTGACTTCAAATATTTTGTGACATTTTTATTAATTGTTAATTACTTAATATTTTTAATGCACAAAATTTATATGAATGTTTTTATAAATCTTCCAACTTTTCTAGTCATAAAGTAACAAATCATACATGATTAATGCTATCCTTTCAAAAATTGTAAAACATTCAGCTTCTTTTGATTAAGTTTTGTACCAGTACATATCGTACTGCTTAGCCATAGGTTGTGCCAGATGGAGCAACATTTTCTACAAAAATATTCTATTTAATGATGGAGCTGTTAACCATATTACAATTGTAATTATACATAAATTACACTAATTATATATTACTATGTAATTACATAAGTTCCGATTGCTGAGTAACTCTTTTAAGAGAGCAGAAACTGTGAATTTACGTTTATAAGTGAATGGTATTATTTTGTCATGATTGTAAGTTACGTAAATTACTTGTTAATATGTAATTATACAGGTTGCAAAAATATTTAGTTTTGTAAAAATAGTAGCAACTTTAAAGTTCCGCTTTTTGCTATATATACATATTAATTTTATCGTAATTACAGTCATACGTGAATTATTGTAAATTATATATTATTAATATATAATTATATAAGTGAACTATTTCGTGATTTTTGTAAAAGTAACAATTCGAGAATTTCTTTAAAAAAATTCTGTTCAACATTAAAAACTAGTATAGATATAGTTATGTATGTATAAATACATTTTAATATATATTTACATATTATTATATTATATTTGTATAAATTGTAATTTTATCATAAACTTTAAACAATCGTTTTCTAATATTTTTATATGAAAAAACTGGCAACTTTAGAGTTCTGCTCACAATGTTACATATTAATGGTGTTCGAATATAATTATGTGTAAGTTGTATGTACGTTATGTATAGCTGTGTGAGAACACAATTGTAATTTTCTACATTTCTAGAGGTACAATTTACAGTTGGAATTGTTTATTTTTTATGATTCCAGAAATATATTTCCATTTTGAATCTTCAATAATGAAGATTATAATTAGGATAGTACATAAATTGTATAATTTGTATACAACTTCCAGCGTTTACGATTATATCATATTTTTCAAAAGAATTTAATTTGGATTTAAAAATTTTATTTAGATATACAAGTTCATATTAATATGTAATTACATATGTTTAATTACCTTGAAAAAAAACTTTCTTATCGAATTGATTACGATTGTATATGACTTACGAGGAATTTTAATGATATATTTAGAAAATTAATTTTTGAATTAAAAATGACCATTTCGTTTGTTCATACACAATTACAAATTATTATTTTTGAAAAGATAGTTTCTTTTTGTTTCTTATAGAAGTAGAATTTATTAAAACCTATGTAACAAATATTATTTTCAATTGTTAATAATTTTCTGCAAAAAAAGAGTACATGTTTTGACTAGTTTTGTCAATAGATTTAAATAACAAAGCAGAAATAAAATTACAAAAATATTTTTGTTTATACAATTCCATGCTTATTGAAAAAGTAAGTATTAAAATCATGCAAATTTTTACGTATAAATTTATAACACTTATATACTATATATTTTAATTTTCAAGTTGTATAGAAATAAGAATATAATAAATGAAAATTAGTGTTTTTATAGGTATAATAAATATATTAAATAACTTAATTACATTAAATTGTTTTCGTTCTTACTATAATTTAATCTATTTTCAATAATTCTTATATATTATTTATATTAGTAATAATTCTAAATATTATTTATATTAATATTTTTAACAATATTTATATTAGACTTAAGTATATACTTTTCCAATATAGCATGTAATTTTATTTAAAATTCTAAATTTACAAAATAAAATATAGATAAAGATAATATATATTTAATATATTAATATTTCTTCAAGTTGTACGACGCATTTTATAAAAGTGAATTTCCTGATTGGTTCGTTTATAGGTTTCAAAGGAAATCGCCAATAGAAAAAGAAGTATGCGTATGACATGAATTTCTTCTTCATTCCACGTTTCTTCCGTCATATGCTTCCATGATTTGTTCCCGCCAAATTTCTCATCTTACTAAATGCCAACAAGTGGTGAGGTGAGTAGTGACAGTGACTATTGGTGCAGTTTATTTGTATTTCTGTTGATTTAGTTGATATTAATGAAGTGAATTACACTTTTGGATTCTTATTCGTAGATTGATGCATTAAAGAAATAAATATAAAATCCAAAATTTATCGAGTATATTTGATTATAGAAACATCTCAAAATGTACGTTAAAGTGAGAACAATGGATGGTAAACAGGAGGCGATATTAACTATCTCCAAATTGACGGAGGTGGAAGAGTTTAAAGTACGTAAACCAAAAATAAAAAATACTATTTTCAATTAAAGGAAAACGATCTTATTATTTTTATAAAGTTTGTAATTTTACTTTTGATATTAAATACATTTAATATCACCTTTCAATATTTAGATTTTTAGAATAAGTAACAATGATTCTATTAAATTTCCTATTATTTTATTAAAAATATTCATTTAATGTTTTAATAACGTTAAAATAAAAATATATATGGAATAAAATAATTTAAGTATATAATTTCTATTTATTTGGAGTATTCTCTTATATTTATTTAACGATATTTTATGCAAATTTTGATTATGATAATATTATAATATTTTATAGCGTGAAATTGAAAAGGAGCTACATATAAAAGCAGATTTACAACGATTATTCTTTCGTGGAAAACAATTAGAATATGGTTATAAACTATATGATTATAATGTTAATTTGAATGATGTAATTCAATTAATGGTGAAAATAGAAATTAATGATATAGAAAATAAAGCTACCTCGAGTAGTAGTATTACTACTTCTAATTCTAATTCTAAACAAGAAATTATAGATAATTTTAACAAAGAAGAAAAATTAGTTGAAGTCTAGTTTTGTCAATAGATTTAAATAACAAAGCAGAAATAAAATTACAAAAATATTTTTGTTTATACAATTCCATGCTTATTGAAAAAGTAAGTATTAAAATCATGCAAATTTTTACGTATAAATTTATAACACTTATATACTATATATTTTAATTTTCAAGTTGTATAGAAATAAGAATATAATAAATGAAAATTAGTGTTTTTATAGGTATAATAAATATATTAAATAACTTAATTACATTAAATTGTTTTCGTTCTTACTATAATTTAATCTATTTTCAATAATTCTTATATATTATTTATATTAGTAATAATTCTAAATATTATTTATATTAATATTTTTAACAATATTTATATTAGACTTAAGTATATACTTTTCCAATATAGCATGTAATTTTATTTAAAATTCTAAATTTACAAAATAAAATATAGATAAAGATAATATATATTTAATATATTAATATTTCTTCAAGTTGTACGACGCATTTTATAAAAGTGAATTTCCTGATTGGTTCGTTTATAGGTTTCAAAGGAAATCGCCAATAGAAAAAGAAGTATGCGTATGACATGAATTTCTTCTTCATTCCACGTTTCTTCCGTCATATGCTTCCATGATTTGTTCCCGCCAAATTTCTCATCTTACTAAATGCCAACAAGTGGTGAGGTGAGTAGTGACAGTGACTATTGGTGCAGTTTATTTGTATTTCTGTTGATTTAGTTGATATTAATGAAGTGAATTACACTTTTGGATTCTTATTCGTAGATTGATGCATTAAAGAAATAAATATAAAATCCAAAATTTATCGAGTATATTTGATTATAGAAACATCTCAAAATGTACGTTAAAGTGAGAACAATGGATGGTAAACAGGAGGCGATATTAACTATCTCCAAATTGACGGAGGTGGAAGAGTTTAAAGTACGTAAACCAAAAATAAAAAATACTATTTTCAATTAAAGGAAAACGATCTTATTATTTTTATAAAGTTTGTAATTTTACTTTTGATATTAAATACATTTAATATCACCTTTCAATATTTAGATTTTTAGAATAAGTAACAATGATTCTATTAAATTTCCTATTATTTTATTAAAAATATTCATTTAATGTTTTAATAACGTTAAAATAAAAATATATATGGAATAAAATAATTTAAGTATATAATTTCTATTTATTTGGAGTATTCTCTTATATTTATTTAACGATATTTTATGCAAATTTTGATTATGATAATATTATAATATTTTATAGCGTGAAATTGAAAAGGAGCTACATATAAAAGCAGATTTACAACGATTATTCTTTCGTGGAAAACAATTAGAATATGGTTATAAACTATATGATTATAATGTTAATTTGAATGATGTAATTCAATTAATGGTGAAAATAGAAATTAATGATATAGAAAATAAAGCTACCTCGAGTAGTAGTATTACTACTTCTAATTCTAATTCTAAACAAGAAATTATAGATAATTTTAACAAAGAAGAAAAATTAGTTGAAGCAGAAAGTTTATATTATAAAGTTGGAGATGCAATAGATTGCCTTGACCAAACTTATGGAGCTTGGTTTGAGGCAATAATATTAAAAATTTTTAAAATGGAAGATAAAATTATTTATAATGTACAATGGGAATTTGATGATAAAGCTCCACCTTTTAATGTACCTGAGTCATCAGTAAGACCACGTGCAAGATGTCTTTTACAATTTCATAGCTTAAAAATAGCTCAGAAAGTAATGATTAATCACAATGTTGATGATCCTAAAGAAACTGGATTATGGTATGATTTTACAATATCAAAAATAGATAAAAAAAGAAGAGCACAAGAACTTATTGGAACATTGCATATTGGAAGGTAAATATTGGTATGAAATTTTTATATTTGATTCAAGATAATTTAATGTATAATTAAAATATGTTTACTTATTAAAAAGGGATCAACCACTTGAAAATCATAAAGTGAATCCTAAGGGAGAAATTTTTGCCATTGAAGAACCAAAACTTCTTAAAGATAGAAATCCTGAAGATGAACAACACTTTATTAGTAATGGTAAAAGAAGACGTATGCAAGCTAGTTGTAATGCTTGTTTAGACAATCCTCGCAAGAAATGCAGGGAATGTGGTTGTAGAGTCTGTGCTGGAAAAGAAGATGAACATAATCTTCTTTTGTGTGATGAATGTAACTCTGCATATCATTTAGGCTGTTTGAATCCTCCATTGTCATCTATACCTGAAGAAGATTACTGGTATTGCCCAGAATGTAAAAATGATGAAAATGAAATTGTGAAGGTTAATTATTATATGATAAAAATTATAACAAACATTATAACAAAATTATAACATTTATATATTTTCATAAATTATTATCTTTTAAAGGCAGGTGATAAATTAAAACAAACAAAGAAAAAGACAAATGAAAACAGTAATAGTAAAAGAGATTGGGGTAAAGGAATGGCATGTGTAGGAAGAACAAAAGAGTGTAGTATAGTTCCACCCAATCATCGTGGACCCATACCAGGTGTAGAAGTTGGAATGTGTTGGATGTATAGAGTACAGGTAATTAAAATTTTAGACGTATCTTTTTTATATGTTTATATACTTATTTCGTACATTTGTATAAAAATAAAAATAAATCATAGGTATCTGAAGTTGGAGTGCATAGACCACATATAGCTGGAATTCATGGAAGAGAAACAGACTGTGCATATTCTATTGTACTATCTGGAGGTTATGAAGATGATATTGATAATGGTGATGAATTTATTTATACTGGTTCTGGAGGCAGAGATTTATCAGGTAGGTTAATTAATTATAAATTAATCTGTTATATTTCAATTAATATGTTATATTAATAAAGGGAACAAAAGAACAGCTGAACAAAGTTGTGATCAGATGTTAACTAGAATGAATAAGGCATTGGCTGTAAATTGTAATGCAAAGCTTAATGCAATAATCGGCGCTACAGCTGAAAATTGGAGAGGTGGTATACCTGTAAGAGTTGTGAGAAATTTCAAGCTCGCTAAACATAGCAAATATGCACCGGAAGAAGGCAATAGGTATAATGATTATGATAATGATGATAATAATAATATCTTTATATTAATATCTTTGTTTTAGGTATGATGGTATATACAAAGTAGTAAAATATTACCCAGATACAGGCAAAAGTGGTTTTCGTGTATGGAGATATTTATTAAGGAGAGATGATCCAGCACCTGCACCATGGACTAAAGATGGCAAAGCTCGTATAGAAGCTCTTGGTTTGAAACCAATGTATCCAGATGGGTACTTAGAAGCAATGGCAAAAAATAAAACTAATAAAAAACGAAATGCATTTATGGACGAAGAAAAATCTACTACTTCAAAAAATGAAGGACCACTAAAGAAAAAACAGAAACGTGAAGTTTATGAAATTGAAAGTGAAGTAATGAAATATATAGAAGAAGATCAAATAAATGAAAAATTATGGAGCGAATGTCGTGAAGCTTTACCGAATGGTAAAACTGTATTCTTACAACAAGTTTCAGAAAGGTATTTTATCATTCATTGTGCTCTTAATGGATAATAGATTTCAAATATTTAATAATTAAAAAATTTCAGATACACGTGTCCCTGCTGTTTGGAACTTGTTTATAATCCAGTCACAATTCCGTGTACACATAATATTTGTCTTAATTGTTTAAAACGTAGTTTTTCGTCCGGTGTACATTGTTGTCCATCGTGTCGTCATTTATTAGACAAAAATTATAAGATGGAAGTTAATCAATCTTTATCATCTGCTCTATTATTGCTGTATCCAGGATATGAAGGTGGCAGATAACATTAACTTTTGTAAAATGATAATATTTTTCAATTATGAATTTACATATACCTAGGCCGTATTAAATGATATTTCTAGATACAATTTATATTTCAATGATGAAATGTATTGGATAGTGACAAATTTGTTATAATATATACTTATAGGGTGGATAAAACATTGTGGTAACTTTTGCTGCTATAAAAAGCTTGTTGCCATAGTCCACTACAGTAATAACAATCAGTTTTATTATTACAGTATATTTATATTAATAAAATGATTGTTAATGATACTAACATAATAAGAAAAATGAATTTTCTTTCACTAAGAAGAGGAAATCTGTGAGAGCTATAAAAAAAGATATACACACAATTAACTATTATAGTACTTATTTTTATATCAATTTTTTAATTATACAATTTTGAATTTTATATTTGTATGTAGCGTAAGGTTTATACAATCGACTACACTATAAACGTTTGATTATTTGTTTGTACATGTATATGTGTGTATTGATGTGTTCAAATTCAAATCAATGTAGTAATTATAATTTGTATATTAGTGAATTGTATTATTTTTTTCGTAATTAGCATAGCATAACTTTTTACAGCAACGAAAAATTTATAAACAAAATTATGTTATTTTAGGATAAAGTAAATAAATGTTTTTATTATAATTTTGTTAATATTACATTAGAAGTTTTACGAATATGTATTTCTACTTTCCTTGATCAATAGGTGGAACTATTGTACTTATCCATTCAAGATATTTATCATTCCCATTTTGAATCTGTAATAAATTATAGCTCAACTATTATCTATATGATATTGAAATATGCATGAGTGTGAATTTAATAGTCACGAATTTTGAGGCATTTTCAATTAGGTGATAAAAAAATATTTCAAACAAAAATTAATCAGCTTTTAGTTGGTTACAAATTGTAATATTAAAAGTATCAAAAGTTTTTTCAGTAAAAAGTCAAAATCACCTTAACTTTCTTAAATAGTTTACAATAAATGTTCAAACTGTAGTCCACTTTTTTGTAAGCATACTTCTAGTTATCTAAGCAAATTTATATTTGTTGCAGTTATAACACTGTCACAACAAACTTTCTCATATGCTATGCAAGTAAATTGTCTTAAATCAGTATTTGGGAGATTTACATTACAACACAATTACATTTCCTACATTATAAACTTGAAATCTTATTACAAGTAATTCCAAATTACATACAATGTAACTAGTATTTTTAATAAAGAAATTAAGTATTAAGTCATTGAATTTGTTTTTTCATCAAAAATAATCCTATAAAATCAAAAATATATATTGTCATTTAAAAAGTTATGGTAATTTTAATTTTTTATTTAAAAGAAATAGTTTTTAGAATTTTTATATTGCAATTTCTTGTTAACTAAAAATTAATTAATTTTTGTTTGCAATACTTTTATATCACAATTGAAAGGGCTTGAAAAATCATGACAATAGTTACACACCATACCTTGTATAACGTATTAAGAACTGAATAATACTCACAGGTAATGAAATTACTTCACAAACTTCATATGGATGGTTTTCTCTATACCAAGTCAGTTTAAAATTAACTTTAAAAATATAATTTAGAAATATTAAAATATATATACTCACTTTACATATTTTGTTAAAATATCCACAGTATCAGTTCTAGTTTTTATCATCTAAAGTAAAATATGTAATACATGTATTAACAATTTTGGCACATTATTTTTAGTATCTTACCAGGAGAAGTTCACTATCTTCATTAATTTCATTCTTCCATTCATATCTGTAATACATAAATAATACTTCTAAATGAAAAAGGTATAATTTTAGTTTAGTTGATTTTTATATATTATACTGACATTGATGTAAGTCCTGATATAATGTTGACACATGCAGCTAGTTTATTTTTCACCAAACCACTATAAATTAATTAATATCATAATTATTTTTTAGAAAATTAATTTCCTACAGGTTATATCAATTCTTACTGAGCCAATTTTTTAGCAACTTCTTGTGTTGGAACGGTAACATATGCAACAGAATGAATTCCCGCGAAATTACTCATGTTTCTATAAATATTAGTAGTAACACTTCTAATTAAACAAAACAAAATTAATCCAAAGAGCGGCTTCGAAGGAAAACGTAATAAAAGTGACATTTATCCAATTTTGCGTTCTCGACTCCGGTGTCCGGTAGTTTCTACTACTTTGAAGTTTGCCTCAGAAGAATCAACTTCAAGTATTCTATCGAATCCGCTAGTTGGAATCGACTAATCGCCTTTTAAGAATACCATTAAACCATTAAATTATTACAAAGTGCACCTTTTAAAAATAATACTTTACATAATTTTATAAATTATTCAATGAAAATTTTTTAAATAATTTCAACGCTATAATCTTTTTACAACTATTTATAATGACAGCCATAATTATTTATTTTAACTCTGTAAGTTATAAAGTTGAGTTTGCTTTAATAATGAAAGATACATATAATTAATAGTGTTTGTACATTTTATATTTAAATATAATGATAATATATAATAAACAGATTTGCATAAATTATGGAAGACACGGATTTTTATCTTATTTTATAGAATCACATAAACATTAAGTGTCAGTTAATGTTTTTTCGCGAGAGTTCTTAACTACGCTTACTGTAATTTACTTAATATTCGACTGTAACATTTATATACGTGAATATATTAATCTCACTTAATTCCAAACACATATGACATTACATTCTTAAATGTATTTTGCACTTGATACTTTTGTCCATACGAATATTGTTTTGGTGATTTATTCATGAATAAACTTAAAATATTTATTAATGGTTATTGATAATAAGTATTTTTGAAAATATTTTGATACATGAAAATTATTTGAATTGTTTACATAAATATTTTCTTACCGAGATTTAACATACATGAAGAAAAGATCAATGAATTAAATAATTAATGGATTTTGAAATATATTTAATTAAAAGTTAATTTTGACTTTTCAGGAAATTATTCGTCCAAATGGAATCATTCAAATTATTCAATATTGAAATAATGTTTTAAAAATAAAATAATAACCTGTTTCGCATTATGAATAAATTCGTGTTGAAAAGATTGTATAAGATAAAAAAAATTGAGTATACATTAAAGTATCAAAAAGAAGACTATTAGATGAAGATCAGAACCAGTCTTATCAAGCTTTACGGCATATTATCTTTTTTTTTCTTTTTTTTAATCAATAATTAAGATTAAAAATCATTTAAAAACATATATATTTAACTTATTAACTCTATAATTTTTAATCCATATGTGGATCAAACTAGAGTTTTTAATATTTAAATTAATCGTTTATCATGTCTTTTTACGCATTTGCAAGTTATAGTAGTTTTACTTCTAAAAAATATCAGGTTACTGAAATTGTAGAATGATTTACATATAAAAAATCATTTTTTTAATAACTCTTTCCTGTTTTGAATATGTTCCCATTTTTCAGGTTTAATTCGGGAGATAGTATTCCCTTGGAATATATTCTGGCTTTGGACTACTCGGTTCGATTCCAAGCAGTTCTCCCATAAAAGCAATGTAGGTAATAGCCAAACGCAGAGTTTCGATCCTTGAAAGCCGTTTTTCATACGCAAAAGTCGGTACCTGAAAAGTAATAATCGTAAAATAATGTTAAATAATATTGATATATTATGATTAATATAAAATTTGACTACAAAAATTTTAAATAGACATAGTAATAAAAGTAATTATCATGGAAGATAATACTATTATTGTGAAGTTTAGTTTGCAATAAAATGCTAATATAGAACATATATTATATTATGTACATATATTATTAGAGATTAAAATATATGAATTTATATAAATAACTCACTTTTCTACGTAATTTGTCAAAGGCTTCATTCAAATTGAACATTCTACGTCTCTCACGAATGTTTGCTGCTCTTCTTTGTGAAACAGTCGCCACACGACGTCTTGGTTTCTTTGTAGTGGACGATGGAAGATTTGGAGACCTACCATTAGGTGTGTAGCGACTAAAATTATTTTAATTAATAAATAATTAATAAAAAATCGCTATGAGTTATTTTTGTTTCTTTTAGAATCTGAGAGCATCAGGGTTTAGACATATATTTTCAATTTATTGTTCCGCAAATTAAAATTATTGCAGATATTATGATAAAATACGAAAATAATTACCTCTGATGTAATAATGCACAGGGTTGTCTATATAATCCATGTTCGTTTACATGAGAGTGTGAAGGAGGTGTTGCTTGGTACAAAACGGAGCTGTCCCACATCGGATAACTTCCGAGTTCGCCGCTGACGTATTGCGACATATCCGCTGTAATTACCTATTTTATTTACTTACGTTTACTTTTATTTGCACGCTATTTCTTATTGATAAAACAAAGTATCATTAATTCTGCTAATTATGATCATTAATTACACAAATCGATTAAGAAAATTAAATGACACGTTTAATATTACGCCAATTTTTAGTATCAAATATTAGGAAAAAATTACGAATGTTCTTATGGTATAATTTATGGTATAATGTTATCATAATTCCTATTATATAGTAATCTAACGAATTTGCTTTCTGTAATTGAAAAATTAATTGTTTTTCAATTATTTATACCCACTGGTGCTTGGTTTCCATTGATCTCCCACAGCGGTTCGGTGTAGTTCATATCCTGGATTCTGACCAGCGGCGAACGAGCTTAGGAAGACTACTTCGTCTCGTTTTTCAATTTAAAAAAAAAAACAATGAAAAAGAATGTGGGTACACGAGGAAAATAAAACGTTCGTCACTAGCACGAGTGTCACCTTCAATCTGAGGATACCAATGATATCCTCGTCCAGCGAATCGAACTCCTGTAGCTCAGTAAATCTTGAACCCGCCCCTTTTTTAAAGCAACCCTCTGAAACCACGGTTATTCGCCATTCTCGAACGCTTGCTTCGTAATCTCTGTTCTCATTGGAGCATTTCACCCTTAACCAGCTCGAGTGAAACACGATCGTTGGACAGGTGGTTGCGAAGGGGCGGAGCTTTCGAGCAACCCTCATGGTTTGCCTTGTTTCATAGGAATTGAGGGTTGAACAATATTGAGACTATCGACCGTGGTATGTTAAAGATGGACAAACTATTTGTTTGAACAGTTTTTTAAGATTATCTATTCTCCTTTGATTATTTTAGTTTCCTATTTTCTTTATAAGTATACATATTACAAAAATTTAATCTACATTTGATATTCTGAATTTAAGATAAAATTCATATTAATAAAGAAACGAAAAAAAAGATTACATATCATTGTCAAAATGTTTTTCAATTGAAAAACTTTTTAATTGCTATTACTTTTTGTTATACTATTTCAGTACATTTAGATTTATTCCTTAACCATTTTTTAGGAAATAGAATTGCTTATGTAAAGAAAAAATGATTAACAAATCTGACGTTGATCTTCCTTTTATAGTATATTTTAAATTAAGTTATTTGGGTAAATTCTTCTATCAAGTCTATTAAATATAGACAAATTATAGGAATTGATACTAAAAATTACAAGCTATCGAACATTATAGTACCATAATGTCTGTCTTTATGTAGTGTATAAAACTATTCTATTTTTCAACAGAACAGATAATAAAAGATTTTATCATAACAGATAAATTAACCTTTAACAAAATATAATAACATTTGACAAATATACATAATTCATAAATGATTTTATTTATCTTAAGATCATACCAAATATAATTTTTCGTATGTTAGGATATTACATTTTCTTTACGTCTATTTCAAGACAAATTGTTTCATGAATTGAGCTCGTAACAGGATCACTCAAAGACCATGATAAAATCTTCTCAGAAGGGTAACATATTGTCAAACCAAGGGGGTGTTCCCCTGAATTAATTAAATAGATATTAGCCGATTCACTTGACGCTAAGTTCTCCCTTCAAATGCGTATAAACATCCAGCATGCTATTTGCGTGTCAAATCGCATTGTGTTTGCTTCAAGAGTTCGGGGGTGCATAAAGTTATTAATATTCGGTCACGAGCAAGCAGTCCTCCTATTAAGATTATTCTCTCTTGCCATTTCTTCACTGTCACTTTGTTATTGTTACCTTTTGATGTTGGATATTTTTTGACTGTTCCATCTTGTGTCTTTTTTGACTTCACTGTATAATCTAAAGTAATTAAAGTAAATTAAAGGTTGGAATAATATCATTAAAGTTATTATTAAAAATATATTTTTGAATCTTCTTGCTCTTTCTCTGTAAATTTATTTAATATTTTCGATATAATTAAAGAATGGATGAAATACTAGGAACCAAATGTACTTAAAAGTCGGATAATGGAAATTACAAAGGAAATTGTTTCATGGTACACAATAAAGATTCTTATAAAAGTTACATAAATTAAATGGTGTATTAAAAATTTATTACATATTTTATTTTATTTCTTTACTTATATATCCATCTTACGGGTATTGTCCTTAAAAATGTGTTTTATTTTTTTATTGAATACCATAAAATTCGAAGATTAGGAATGTATTAATTTATTTAACACATGATGTATATTTTGTAGGTTTGTATTTATTAACTCTGTCGGTGGATCTTTAATTCGAGTCTGGTAATATGCACTATATCCATAACTGCAAGCTGACGCTTTGGATCGATGCTCTGAGCGTCGGCGCTGAAATGTTTCATAGATGGATTTCGAAGCTTTTCTAGAATGAAGAATATTCGATATAATGTTAAAACACAAACAATGCTTTTCGTCACGAACACTTATTAAGGTGAGATCAATTAATTTAACGATACCCGTTAAAAAAGAATCAATATTGCTATAATTAACATAAAAATTCTTATTTTTTCATAGTTTCATTTCAGATAAGTTTTAATAAGTACGTAAAAACTAAATACCATAAAAACAATTATTTTCCATATCGTTAATATTTATTGCATATATTAAATATGAGATAAAAAGTTAAATAAATTAAGACTTTTATTATTTTTCAACAATTCTTAATGTTTATACTGTAATTTTTAGAATAATTTACAATATGAAAATAAAATTTATGGTAATATAACATTAATACAAATTATAATAATAAATTCTTCTAATTTTGTTGAAATTCCCATTTCATCAATAGATAACTGGCAAATATATAGGATGACGTAAAAAGTGTCAAAAATCAGATTTGGGTTTATCCCCTCATGGTGCACGTGTTCGTTTGATCTAATTTTGATGCGTTTCTAACAATGGATGCGTCTTCCGCAACAGGGTCACGCCACTGACAGTAATCGCGATTTCGTCACGGAGATTTCCACCTTTTTGTATCGTATGTTGCTTATAACAAGGATTTATTATCGGTTTTCACTAAAATAGAACAATTGTCACGAAACTTATTTTCTGATGCATTAGTATAATTAAATTTCTAATATATGATACATATATTGTCATTGTCATCCCTTATTATATTTTAGAGGTAAAAATATCAATATAATAACGAATTTGTAAATTATATTATAAAACTTTATTTAAATAAATATGAAATCATATATAAATTTGTATATTTAAATTTAACATGATTTCATATTTAGCAAATATGAAATATTTTTGAATATTTAAAAATTTTAATTAATCGAAATTCGCAAATTAAGATTTTAACAACATAAGAATGTACGATAAACGAAATAACTTATGAAATATATATTGAATTAATTTTGTTACGAAAAAAGATTAAAATGTAGTATTATTTTACTGAATTATTTAGCGAAAGTAGTAGAAATTCATTTCTCGACTTCTTGATTATTTCATCAAAATGTTTGTGCGTATAGTTAATTAACGTTGATCTTATTGCGCCTAAAAGTGAGTTTGTTTGTATAGCTGTTCTTATATAACGTATAACAGGTACAAAGAAAGATAATAAATCTATTTTTCATGTACCATCAGTAAAATATTTCTACTAAAGGAGATATTCACGTTCCACTTTTTCTACTTATGTATATAAATTTGCTATTATTTAAATAGAAATAATAAATTTTAGCTTTAGTGGTATAAGATAATATAAAACATCAGTTAATAATTTGAGATATAGTATTTTTGCGCAGATTTATCTTTCCATATACTTCGTTAGATACATTTCATGATTATCTAACTTCCTTAACAAATTATGAATAAACTTTTTGTCTGTTTATTTCCAATTTATGTTATCTGTGAATCGAATATTTATTCAAAAGCACTTTCTTCGATCATTGTTGTTGCTTTGAGGACGCTTTACCGATTTCGGATTCAGCTGAATTAACTTTCCTTTATCCAATATAAATGTACTTATTTTTCTGTTTTTAAAATTTTTCCTATCTTTTGTTGATAATTTGTTTAATCATTATAACTTATTATGATTGATATTTAAAGATAATCATTATGTGTGTATTTGCATTTATATTATTTACTAAACAATTCTTAAACAAATATGAACATTTTTGTCATTTATTTGTTTACAGATATGGTTATCGACTTGAATTACGATGCATCCTTTATACTTATATGAAATTTTAAAATTATATATTTCTACTCAACACTTGATGTGCGTTTAATAACGAGTAAACGATAAGAGAGCACTCAACATTTAAAAGAAAATTTACGAACAGAAAAATTGAATTTTATAACTTTATATTATAGAATTTAATTTAGCAGTGAGTAGATTTTTAGTCAAGTAAGTAATTCTATTTTTGGCCATTAAATAAATGAATAACTAGTATTTAATTCGATACAAAAGGTTCAAGCTTTGGTAATGACAGACAAAATTAATTTTTTATTTTTTATTGTAATTTGGTATTTTGTACATACATACGATTTACACGTTTCTTTTTACAACTTTGATGATAACAACAACTGTATATTACACTGTGCAAAATACAATAGTTACATTAGAACCTATTTAACACGAAATATTTAAAACTAATTTCTATTTGTTATATAATAACATATGTTTTATTTCAAAGAAAACTTTATATGTCGAAAAGAACTGAAAGTATTATAATACGATAATTGTTTTTACGACACTTTGCAAAATTTCTAGAAATTGTTAAACATTAATGCTAGAACTATATTTATATACTAGAATTTGCATTCACATTTACATAGAAACATTTCTCTGCTAAAGTACATTTCTTACAATGTGATTTCTAAAATATGAGTGTCATGAAAAATCAGGTAAGTAATATATATAAATATCACAGGAAATAAATCATTTACTTTATCACTAAAAATAAGATTATTACGGTAGTATTAACACTAGAACTATCAAAGAAGTTAAATGACTTGTGCTAGATATTTTATTTTTATAATTTCTGAAAATATGTAATTGCATTTGATGAAATTAATGTTGACGTTTATGCAAATAGAAACATGGTTGTATATATGCAGTTATTTATTTTTATCAAATCGCTATAATTATTACCATTTGTGTACAATATATTTAACTACTCATATTAGATCGATAGTTCTAATGTTAAACACTGTTCTTTCTTTTTTTAATAAAAATTAATAAATTTAAAATCTAATTAATTTGTTTATGAAATATAAATATTAAAATACCATCAATTTTTATATTTTGAGAATAAAAGAAATATATATATATAATAATTTTATTCCTAATATGTAGTAAAACTATAAAATCAATTAGGAACATAATAAATTTGATTCAAATAGCACCTTGCACATTTAAGATTATTATAAAACCATTGTTATAGCTATATAATTTTCAATTATTATATTCCTTTCAAAGAGAAGCATTCTGAAAAGATTCATAAGAAAAATAGCATATATCTTCTATTTTATCTGATTAATCTGCAAGGTATTTATATCATTTAAAATAAGCACATTTTGTCACAGAATAATTATATAATTACTTAATTATTATTTAGTTATTTAATTATTGTAATTTAAGTCAACATTCCATAATTCATAACATTTATAAATTTGTAAGAATTTTTTCATAATAATTTTGTTTTATATTAAAAAAAAAAAAAATGATATTGAAATTAATGACGTTTTCGAATTCATATATAAGATATTTATATTTGCAAATGAAAAAATAATTTGATGAAAAATACACGTAAAGTATTATTTGCATTAATAAAATGTTTACAAGTTTAGAAAAAAAATAATGTCATTTAACATAAAAAAAAATTTTTTATTTCTTTTTCTTCATATTAATTTCGCAAATGAGGTATATTTCAAATTTTATGAATTACGAAAAATTTATATAATTTATTTTTCATACCTGATTAGTGAAAAGTTTGTAATGCATATTAAATAATAATATTTGATCTTTTCTTAAAGCAGATCCTTGATAAAAAAAACGTTTCTCTTTTTAAACTCATTTTATCTTATACTCTAATGCATTATTAACATTGCATATATATTATCTACAAAAATACTATCATATTAATACATACAAGCGTCAATTTAAAAATAATTTAATGTACACACACTCTGATAAGTAAAACTACGGAACATGAAGGAATGTTAGTAATGTTGCTTTATCTTTAATACTTCCTCTTAATAAGCAGTTTTTCATATATTTAAAATAGTGCTGGAACGTTTACATATTGGAAAAGTATGATCAACCTTCACATTCTTAAAATATTATACATGCTTTAAGTATCGATTATAATTTCAATGAATGTAAAAAAAAGTAAAATACAATAAACTGCATCCAATTTTTTGTTACTAGTAATATACAGAAAATGTTTTTCTCAACAAAATTTCGTCTACATATTTAAATCGTGTAATATAAAATTTGATTTGTTTAATGTACCAATATCTTACCGTAAATAATATCTTACTTTACTTAAATAATATCTTACTTATACTTTAGTATCTTTTCATTAAAAAAATCAATTTAATAAGTAAACTTTAATAATTTTTTAAAAGCGAAAAAGTTTTTCAGAAGTCAAGTTCTTCCTTCTCATCTTGAACATTGAAACCTATTGTCACACTAGAATTACCTGTCATGGTACTTGCCACAGTAAGAATTGGCTCCTCTGATTTTATTTTTGCAGAAGAAGAATTTTTTGATTCCATCATACTCTGCTTCCAATTTTCTAAATCCTTATCTGACATATTTGAAAGAGAGCTTAATTTTGATGTACACTTGTAACTATAATTTGTCTCAAATTTTTGTGTCGGAGTTTTTGGCATAGAAACACTCTGTGATCGAGAAAAGTTGTTCCTTTTACAACTGCTAGAAGAGTGAAACTTTTTCTGCTCTTGTATAATTTCGATACTATCTTTATTTCTTTGTGTTTTTTCTTCGTTTGGAAATTCAGTTTTCTGAAAAGCAAATGACTTTGCCTTATCTATAGTATCTGCTTCTTTAATTCTAACATCTTCATCTGATATTTCCATGCTTTCAACGAGAAATCTAAAAAAAAAAATGCAAAATGAAATAATCAATTTTATTTGTCTTTTGAAATTATAAAACAGAATATTTTTTTTAACAAAAATTTACCTTCCAATTTTTTTATAACCAATATTAGACTTTGTGTTTGAATTTTCCTTCTGCTCAAATATTCGTTTGACGTCCTGTTTTTTTTGCTCTTCAGTTTGCTTTAAAGTTATTGTGTGATCCTCGTCATCATCCATGTTGTCAACAGGAAGATCATCAGTACGCATGATTTTCTGTAGATTAGTAGTGAAGTCTGCTCCAAACCCACAGTTTCGTATTTGACCATCTTCATTACTATAGTAATCTGTATATGATACACTACCACGACCTTCCCTATGTTCCTGATCAATATTTATACAAAATTCGTTGAAGTCCACATCCAAACATGGAGTTGTAGGAAACTTAGGACCCATATTAAACGATTGTGCTCTGTAAAAAATAAAAAAAAAACATGCTTCTACATGTAATTCAATTTTATTAGTAAGTCAATGGTTAAACATTAATTACCCGTCATTACTTATTAGACTAATAGACATACTGCACTCTCCTGTTGAAGTTGGTGCAGGAGATGAGGGTTCAGAAGAGAGAAATGACTGTGGTTCACTGCTCCATCCAGTACCTGAATTATATATTGATATTTAACAATAATTTATAAGAGTTCTTTTATAATCCATTAACTGTTATTCATATTTTATTACCAAACTAATAATATGACTATTAGGACAATACTCACTATTAGGACTAGTTGGTGATAATTGATTTCTTATATCACAAGGCTCTCCATCATTTGAAGGTTTATACTGTATAGGAGTTGGTGTAATATATCTAAGAAGAAAATTAATTACTCTAATTTTATTGAAAATTATGTAAGTTACAATTGACAATTGAAAGAAACAAGAAAGAAATAATATTCCTTCTAATAACAACACACTGATGTATTAGAAAAATGAAACGAAAAGAACTCAATACTCACAAGGATGGTTTACTTAATTTCTTACGGTACCTGACAGCTTCCAGGTCGGAAGAGTGGTACTCGCGACTGATTCCTCCGATACTGAGAGTTTGATTAACTGATTCGTGAGTCGATCCACCAGGAGAAGGATACTTCGGTGGTGAAGAAGCGGGTGTTCGAAAAAGAGGGGCGCTAGTCATCATTTCCAAAAACGAATCCAATTGTCGCAATGACAATGCATTGTGAAGAGTTTCCAAAGGTCTTATTGGCGGTACACCACCGAAACCTTCTATTGCTGATGAGCATAAAAATATTGTTATATGACATGAGTAAATATGAAAGATATATAAAAATTAAAGTACATTCGAAAGTAGAGAAAAAATAAATAAGATGAAAAGATTAAAACTCACCAGCAACAGCAGACGCATGAGGAGGCACCATATCCTTAAGATTTGGAGCACTTGAAGATCCACTGATAACAGCTGTGCTGAATAAACTGTTTGCTGATCCAGTCAACTTCTTGTTGACGTTGTAGCCCAACAGCTTGAAATAACTCATCTGTCCGGAGATACTGTGACGGTGGCGCCTTGCTGTGCAGGTAGGGTCAGGTTGAATGATCGAAGGTCGTGTGTCTGGAGATGAGAAGGATCGTTGAGGCTGGAGTCGGGAGAATGGTTCACGTGGACTCTTGGAACGATGATTATACTTGCGAGGAATATTGTGATCATCGTGAACATCATTATCGTGTGCATGGGGCGTATGATAAAGCATACTACTATGATTCGGTATGTCTACTAGGCTACCGTGCCACTGGAGATTCACATTAGGACAAGACCAACATTTATATATCCTTGAACAATTAATTGCTTCACCATTTTCATTTGAACAAACTGAATCAACACAAGAAAAAACATCAGATTGTAGATGGGGACAAGATAACTTTTTGATTGGTACACGTGTATTCCCAATTACATTATCACTATTGAATGTTCGTCTCATAATATTGTTTTTAAATCCCCACTTCTCTTTCTCCTTGAACAGTATCGATTCACTGCGATCATGACCTCTTGATTGTTGCTTATATGTAGAATAATGATCGAATCTTGACTCCATATAAGGAGCAATATATTGTCTTCCAGGAAACGTAGGAAGTCTGCCTTTCATACATACAAAGGATGAATCAGGATGACCTATTCCAGCAAATCCTTTAAAATTTCCACAGCTATTATGAAAAGGAACACTACGAGATAAACGATTGGATCCAACCTCTTGTAGGCTCGAGTAACAGGAACAATTAAAAAATTTATGTGAGAGAGAACGTGCGAAATAAATATCGAAGTTGAAACGTTCGACGGGCGGTAGATCTCTGCTTCTTAAAATCAGCTCCGAAACGTTACAATTATAACAAAGACACTTGGGTAGGTAAGGTGACAATGAACGAGAACGTTTCTCCAGTTTAAATTGCCCCATAAATGTCGCTGTCTCTGGGGTTCTTTCACGTAAGGATAACGAAAAATGGGAACGTTTTGGCCACGGATTACTTGGTGGCGGTTTTGAGGAATCGATCAACTCACCGCTACACTCGATCCCAGGCAGAATCATCTCTGAATGGGAACGTCCATATTTCTTACTTTGAGAACGTGGATCAAAATCATCAGGTTGTTCAGAATTGGTATCGAAAAACGAAGAACGAATCGTGGGGACCGGAAGCACAATATTCATCACATCCGAAGTCCGGCTGTTTGGTGAAACTAGAGGAGATGTATGCAAAGTCACCAAGGGTGTTGAGCTCAAAGTGGAGGTTTCTATCGAAGGAACTGGAAACTCCGGTGAACTGAAGGAGTGCGGCAGACCCAGCAATTTTTCCGTTGGTACATTCAGCAAAACCTGGCCAGATCTCTCTAAGTGGCATTGCTCTGTTACATGCTTCTCTGTGTCGGGTGTAGCATGCGTAGTTTGTGAACGATATAGAAGAGAGAATGGTGCAGTTAAAATGAATGAATGATGACGATGTAACAGCGGGATTAGGGTACAGAGGAAGGAAAAAAAGAAAAGAAACAGACGATTAAATAAACCCATCACCGATAAAATCAAAATAACATTGGCAAGAACCTTTGGTCACGTCGTCAGTGCTTGAAATTAAAACTTGCTGAAATCGTTTTAATGTCACTGTGTAACAAGAGGACTCATTGAAACTCAGGATTTATAAAAATTATGAATGTAGACTTTAAGAATTTAAAAAATAACTAAATACTTTATAAACAATAATGGAATATTTTAGAGCTTTAAGAAATTTTTAGGTACTTCTATTTGTAACAGTCTGTCAACTTAGAATTAGAAATACTGATATTATTAAAGTTCGGTGAAGACGACGTTTTAAAAAAAAGATTCATTACCAATGAAGGAATAAAATAACTGGAATACACTGGAAAAGAACGATATATACTCCAATTTACTTGTATTTAAAAGGCATAAATTTGATTAATGTTACACACCCATGGCACACGATAGCCATGCAACCAGTAAGCCAACCAGACAACAACAATTTAAATTTATGAACACTTTATTAATAATTAATATGATTATGATCTTTTATGATGATGACAGCTGAGGATTTAGAAAAATTTTTAAATCATATTTCATTCATGTGTTGCAGCTTACTACAAATAATTATCAAATTTTTTGTCGTCATTAGAATTTAATTTATTTGAATAGAAATATGAAAATCTAATTTCATTTATGAATAAAATTGTAATATCAATGAAGCGATGGAATAATACATTGACAATACTATAAAAGAAAAAACAAATGATATCAAAAATTTTATATTTATATAAAAATATTATATATTTTTTATATCCATTAATATAAATATTATGTTTTTAGAAATGTGAATAGTAAATGAAGTATACAAGTGAATGATGAAAAATCAAAATATAACATATGTGATTGCATATTAACGAGTATGTATGACGAAGAAGCTGTGAGTGATTTTAGAAAATACCTAAGCACTAATTAACTGCAAATCTTAATGGAATAATGATTTAGGACTGAGGGAATTAGGATGATGGCTGAATGAGTTACACTAATATTTGTCAATGTGTAGCCCAAGCAGTCATCAGTATAAATTAGTTGGCTTCCACGCGCACAACTATCGCTGAGCAAAGAGTTATTTCAACTGAATTTTCCTATATCTATCTAACAGCATATCCTTTTGTTAAATTAATTCCATCAACTAAGTTTTTACTTATACAGTGTGGTTTTGATTGCACAGTATCTATTCAATGAACTAGCAAGATTTTGGTAAGAATTTCACAATATTTCAAACAAAATCTGAACTTGTACGCTCTATTACACACAGAACTGAACGTAATACAAAAGAAGATGGTACATGTAATATTAAAGAAAATAATGCAACATTAAGGATTAGGCATGATACTGAAAACTATCTATGAAAAATTATGCATGTGTGTTTACTATTCATAGTAAAGTTATGACACAATACTTTTTTTAAAAGTATTGCAATATTAATAAGTACAAAGGATGCTGCACTTTATGGAAGAAGTAAAAGATGCAAATCACAGTGATTAACAACTACAAAAATTACCATCTCAGAAGCAAAAGATAATTTAAACAATCAACTAGATGATTAACTCTTCTACGAAAATAATTTAATGAAAAAAAAAAAAAAAAAAAAAAAAAAAAAAAAAGAGAATAAATTT